CGGCCGGTTTGAGATTTACTGCTGCTTGGCGGCACGGCTGAAGGAATGCCGCCCTTGCTTCCGCCGCCATCGCGTCGCTTGACCACCAGGCACAGCACGCGCCCATAGATGGCAAAGCCCTCATACGAGATGTCCATAGCGAGTTTCTTCTTTTTGTCGTCCTCCCCTGCGGATGCTTTTTCTTTGCGGCGTTTTAGTGGGGGCGGGCTAGTCCCCAGCCCGTCGCTGTCGCTATCACCGCTGCTGACGAACAGCTGATCATCTGATGAGTCTGCGTCGCCGATAGCCTCGACAGCAACGTCATCATTACCATCGCCGGACTGGTTGTCCGATTCTGGCCCCTGTCCGTCACCACTAGGCTGCCCTCGGCGTCTTCGCTTGGGTCTCCTATTGGCGGAGGCATCGTTTGCTGCCGTTTCATCCATCGTGGGGACGTCATTGAGGTCGATAGCGTCTTGATCGTCGCTCTCCTCACGTAAAAGTATCGGTACGTCGTCTGCCTCGTCGGCATTGTACAGCTGCTCACCACCATCGTCCACATCGATGGGCGCATCGCGGGATGCTCTGGTCAATTTGGATGAGTTGGATGTCAGCTTCGTCTGCGTCTTATCCCGGAAATGCTTGTGCTTGTGCAGCAGCGAGTGCCGTGTGTCTGTCTCCATCAAGAAGATGGACACCTCGAAGTCATCTGCAGAAAGTAGGCTCGAGTCAGCCCCTGTGAAGTCTAGGACTCAGTCCTTCGCGTCTTCAGTCGGCCTACAGCCGCACACCACTGGCGCACTCGTGAAGAAGAAAAAGCAAGTAACAGATGGCACATGAGCAACGCCTACCTTGGATAATCACATCCTTGATGCTCCTTTTCTTGTTCTTCCTTTTGCTTTGCGCGCGCTCCCTCTCCTCTCGAAGTTTAGGCAGCACTAGAGGACGGACGCTCTCAATGACCCTAGGTAAGACCGGATTCCTCGGGTTGAGCAGCCAGGACTGACCCAGCGCTGGGTTATCGAGGTATATGCGACACTCGAGCACTGAGTATTTGGTGATTCTCAGATAGCGACGGATTGGTGCCATGATATGTGAAGTGCCGCGAGGCCCTGTAGAGCAAGTAACAATTAAGAGATCTACCCAAGACCTGGAGAGTGCGAATGTCGTTGCTGACGATGAGACAACAACGGTCGATGATGCTATATACGGTACCTTATCGATAGAGAGAGGTGGGGCTTTTCAGCCTTGCATATTCGTGGCTTGCAGGGAAGGAACTAGCCTGGCGATGATGGCATTTGCGTCGCGAAAATTTCCAGAGCTCCAATCACAAAGCTGCAGGCTCTAAGCTCCATTCCCAGCATTCCACTATGAGGTGTGGGAGATCATGTCGAAGAATTGGGCCTCGACATTGAGGCTGCCCAAGTCCACATTTCCGTAAGCTTGAAGCTTTTCCATGTAACATGTCGCTACGATTCCATCGTAATACTCACGCAACCGCGTTACTTTCAGGCCGCGACCTTTACCCCAGAACCGAGAACAGTACATACAGCGATGCGCCGATGACTTTTACAAGTGGCAGCAGGCAAATCGCCCCGACGATGACGCGTTCCTCCTGCACGATGGCCCTCCCTATGCGAACGGCAGCTTGCATGCCGGCCACGCGCTGAACAAAATCCTCAAGGACATGATCATTCGCGTAAAGGTCCAACAGGGTAAACAGGTATCGTACATACCGGGATGGGACTGCCACGGCCTCCCGATCGAGCTCAAGGCCGTCGGGGCCGCCGAGGGCAAGCGCATGACACCGGTCGCCATTCGCCAAAAGGCGCGCGAGCTTGCCTCGAACACGGTGCTCGAGCAGATGAAGAGCTTCCGGACATACGCTGTCATGGGCGACTGGGATAGACGGTGGACGACCATGGACGCGGCCTACGAGGTCAAGCAGCTCCGCCTTTTTCAGCAGATGATGCGCCGGGGACTGATCTACCGCAAGTTCAAGCCTGTGTACTGGTCTCCATCCTCTGGAACGGCACTCGCCGAAGCTGAACTCGAGTACAACGAGGAACACATCTCAACGGCTGCATACGTCAGGTTCCCTATTGTTGGGGATCTCCCTGGCTTGGAAGGCTTCACGGGCAAACTCTATGCTGTTATCTGGACCACGACGCCGTGGACCCTCCCGGCAAATCAGGCAATTGCCGTCCATGACGATCTGGCGTACCACGTTATTCGGGTCGGTGACGATGCGATGCTGGTTGCTGATGGCTGCTTGGCCCGGGTTACAAAGGTGCTCTTCGGAGAAGGCGAGGAGGGTCCTGAAATACTGGCCACGTTCCAGGGCAGCCAACTGACAGGGCTACGGTACATCAACCCCCTCCACGGCAAATCTGCTTCTCCACGGCCTATTATCCATGGTTCCTTTGTCACGGCGGAGTCTGGAAGTGGTCTTGTGCACTGTGCCCCTGGCCACGGATTCGATGACTACCTCGCGTGCACGGCTTTGGGGATGTCTGTTTCTGCCCCTGTGGATAACGATGGCTTGTTCACGGACGAAGCCTACCCCGACGAGCCCGAGAAACTGACAGGCATACCCGTTCTTGAAGGCGGCAGCAAAGCGGTTATGGCTCTGCTCGGAGAGAACGTGTTGGACGTGCACAAGTACAAGCACAAATATCCCTACGACTGGCGGACCAAGCAGCCCATCATCATCAGGGCAACAGCCCAGTGGTTTGCCGACGTATCTCTTATCAAGGACCAAGCCCTGGCAGCGCTGGAAGAGGTCAAGTTCATTCCTGAGACCGGCAAGAACAGACTCGAGGCATTCGTCAAAGGCCGGAGCGAATGGTGCATCTCACGACAGCGAGCGTGGGGCGTGCCGATCCCCGCCTTGTATGACTCAAAGGGCGATGCTGTCATGACCGAGGAGACAATCGACCACATCATATCCGTCATTCAGGAGAGAGGCACAGATGCCTGGTGGTCGGACGCCCCCAATGACCCGGCCTGGATCCCCGCGTCTCTGCGAAATACCGGAGAGTATTCTCGGGGCATGGATACCATGGATGTGTGGTTCGACAGCGGCAGCAGCTGGACGCAGGCAGACAGGCAGGCAGATGTGTATCTCGAGGGATCGGATCAGCACCGTGGATGGTTTCAATCTAGTCTTCTTACGCGAGTTGCTGCCACGGCCACGCAGAACACCGGGACAACGAACGCTCTCGGCCTCTCACCATTCAAGACACTCGTCACTCACGGCTTCACGCTGGACCAAGACGGCAAGAAAATGTCAAAATCACTGGGCAACATCATCTCGGCAGATCAAGTCATGGACGGCTCGCTTCTCCCTCCGCTAAAGACCAAGAAAAAGGGCGGCAATGCCCCACTGATTAAGGACGCACTTGGTCCGGACGCCCTGAGATTGTGGGTAGCTGGCTGTGATTACACCGGTGACATCGTCCTCGGCGAGCCGGTGCTCAAGGCGGTTCACCAGTCGTTGATCAAGTACCGCACCATCATCAAGATGCTCACTGGTTCCATGCACGAGTCTGCCAGACACAAACCGTTAACCGCGCTGGATCACATTGCGATAATACAGTTAAAGGATGTGATGGAGGAAGTGGGCAAGCACCTTGACAACCACGAGTTCAACAAGGCGCTGAGCAGCTTGAACCGATGGGTGACGAACGACTTGTCTGCTTTCTATCTAGAGGCTCTGAAGGACAGGCTGTACTGTGCAGACGGAGGCGGTGTGCTGGAGCCCATCTTTATCGGGTTCCTGAGGATGTTGGCGCCCGTTACGCCAGTCTTGGTCGAGGAGGCTTGGGAGCACCGACCGCAGTGGCTACAAGAAGACAAATCGGCCATCCACCCGCTGCAGCAACTCTACTCATCACCAGTGATCGATCCCAGCCGGTTGGTGCATGACGAGGCAGAGTTGAGAGAGGCGATACCCATCTTGACAAACACGCATGCAGCTATTAAAGCTGCGTCTGAGCTTGCGAGGGCAGGGAAGGTGCTGGGGTCGTCGCTGCAGTGTTCTGTCATCGTTGACATTCCCAACGGAGCGAAAGTGTTGCGCATTTTTGAGAAATACAAGGAGGAGCTGGAGGCCATGTTTGTGGTCTCGTCGGTTGAACTGAAGATAAATGACGGGAGATCTCCGCAGGGCGTTGAGTGGAAGTACGAGCAGAAGATCCACGGGACGAACTGCAGTGTCTGGGTGCTGCCCCCTAGGGATCATAAATGTCCCCGCTGCTGGCGGTACGTCGCGCCCAAGGAGGATGAGCTGTGTGGACGCTGTGAAGATATAGTTGGAGGTCATGTACATTAGATATTACCTGGTAAAAATATAGAGTAGACTTGTCGTGTATATATATATATATATATATCTGTGTAATATATAACCCCGTTCCATCTTGCAACTATTCAGAATCGTCTCTCGCCATAATAAGAACTCTTTTTTTTTTTTACCGTGTATGTCGATCCAGGCCCCAAGTACTTTTGTCTTTCATTTACGCGCTGCATTAATGATGGTCGATTACTTTGAAACCTCTGTCTGTTATACATTCCATCGGTAATTAGGTAGTAATTACTACGTAGTACAGTTGTAAATGCACCCCCCGGGGGGGGGCTCCTATTAAGTACCGAACGCCGTTATGCTGCTCTCTCAACGCAAAGCAGAGAAGTAGAAACTCCATCAACGACTTCTAAGAAGCAAAAATCACATTATCTAGCCTATAGATATATAATTATGTACTACAAACACGGTCGGCACAGTGACATATACCCTTCTAGAATCCAACATCTAAACCCGTGTACTACACACGACAAAAAACAAAACAAAACAAAATAAAACAAACGAACCACTTTCATAATCCACAAGGGTACCCTTCAGTCTAAACACAATTCCACACAGCCTTGAACCGAGAGGAGATAGATAATGTTAGAGTGGGCAACAGCCCCCACCCCCCAAGCTGCTGTTCTTAGGGCACACCCAAAGAAGACATGTTCATCTAAAGGGCAAGGTGGCCGAGCAGTCTAAGGTCGCCACGCCAAGGTTAATAACCCTCAATCTCTTCTCTTTCTCTCCCTCTCTCCCTGAGAAGTAAGATAAATAGTTCCGTGGTCCGAAAAGGGCGTGAGTTCGAATGGATCTCACCCTTGTCAAAACATCCTCCTCAAACACCGAATCACTTACTTAGTGATTGTTGTAAAATCACGCATGTGGGGTGGTTTGTTTCAATTTTTGTTGGTACTACTGAAACTCTTCCTCACTAGAACCCAACCCATTGTGCAAAAAAAGGTTTTTTTTTTTTTGTTAATCATATCGAAATAATGGGACAACTGAAACGGAAAGATGGGGCAACGGTGTGTGGTTATATAGAAGAGAGTGTGAAAACCAATGTTATTAAAACTCCCACAGCACTTCACTACACTACACAAGTAAAAAGGGGGGGGGGTATCTAATCAAGTACTCGATAAAGCGTTACAACGTAAGCTTAAGAACAATTGCCTTCCCCAGTTCCGGACTCAAACAGTTAAGTACCCTTTCCTTTCCATAAAGGAACCCAATAATAATGACCGTCAGAAAAAAAAAAAAAAAAAAAACCTATAATAACCCGTATAAAAACCATCACCCATGCACCCATGCAAACCCCCCTTTTGTCCCTCACTCTGTGTGCTCAATTCTGCTGCTTCGCTCAGCATCAGTTCAGTTCAGTTCAGTTCAGTGCAGCCGCGGACTCTTCCTCCTAGTGCTTCTCCTCTCCGACAGCTCCGCAGGCGGAGGCATATTCTCCCTCCCCTCAGCCACGGTGCTAATGTTGCTGACCATGGAATGCTTCTTATTGTAACCCCTAGCTTGGCTCCGCGTGCTACGCTTGAACGACGGCAGAGTGTTGTTCTCCGCGATAGAAGCCATAGACAGAATGCTCGCTGACGGATCAAAGAGCAGCGAGCTGCTGGTCAAGGTCACGTTCGGGTTGACCTCACGCAGGCTCACGCTCGCGCTTCGTTGTGTCCTGCCTTCGCCGCCCTCGATTTTGACGCCTTCCGATGTTCCTGGCCTTGACGACGGTAGCTTGACCTGACTAGGGGACAAGTCTACGTCGCTAAAAACTGCAGGAGCTGCTGTCGGCTTGCTTGGTGTTGGGATGTCCCGCATGCCCGCAAGCAGGGCGTCGTGGGCAGCGGTGCGAGGTAGTTCTGTGGGGTACAAATACTGAACCTTCTCAGGTGTGTCGCCCGTCGGTTCATACTCGCGCAGATCGGTGTTTTGTATATCCTCTCTGAGGTTGCTGAGGGGCTGCAAAACGGCCTCGTCGAGCGGCTCAAGATTTTCTTCGAGAATCTGAGCTCTCGCCTCTACCGAGGCCCCAACATCTCTGAGTCTGCCGAATGTATTCTCGAAGTGGTCCCCGATATTGGAGAAGGAACCCTCCACGGTGCCCGACAGATTTCGCATGAACTCGGTATGTTGCTCGTGATGCTCGGCGTTATGTGACTTCGCCCGCGAGACAAAGTCGTTCAGGTCTTCCATCTGAGCATCGAGATCCTTCATTTGCTGGTCCACCACGCGCACTGTCTCCGCGTGGACCGACTTTGTTGTGTTTTGAATCGAATTACTGTGGTTGTCTGCCATCTGCGGAAGAAAGAGAATGTCAGCGCAAGAATAAACTGTAAATAAATGGGGTAACTTACCGCCCAGTCGTCTTTCAACTTGGTCTTAACTGCTTCCCTGGACTTGGCGACATCCTCCATGATCTGGCTGTCCTTGGCTGTCCACGCGTCCATGGCCTCCGAGTACTGAGCAACACTGCCCTCAAATGTCTTGCTCGATTCTTGGACTGTCTGCCGGATGAGCATGGCTCTGCCTGCCAACCGAGACTCTTGTAGCTCCGCTTGCGAGTTAATCAGGGAGGAAATCTGGAGAAGCAATTGCTGTCGCTCGGCCGCAGCCTGCTTCCGCTCCTCTTCCATCACTTCCTGGATTTTCGCAGAGACTGCTGCATTCGACTGCACCATGGCCTCGCTCGCGCCCTCCAACTGCCGCCGGAGCCTATCCGACTCAGTCTTCTGGGCGCTAATGTGACGGAGCAGCTCCTCGAATATCGCCTTGAAGTCTTTCCCAAGTGAGCTATACGACTCATGTAATTGGGTGTGGAACGTGCCAAGTTCGCTGAGGACATCGTCCGCTATTCTCTCCGCTGCCGCCGCGATTGCCTGCAGACTCTCGCCAACGCGTTGCTTCACGTTGTCCCGAATGACTTTGATCTCTTCTAGCGTGTTGTCCATCTCGTCCTTGGAATGTTGCTGCTGCTCCAACAGCTCTCGTCGGGCCTCAGCGAACTGTTCAAAATTCTCGTCAAGGAACGTCTGAGTTGACGACAATTTCTGCAGCTCCTCCTGCACAAACGATTGCATGCGCTGCGAAATGCTGGATATATGCTCCTGTTGACCCTGGCGAAACTCTTCTATCCTACCCTCGACGAGCTCGGTGACGTCCGAGACCTGCGCTTGTGACATGCTCCAAGTGCTCCTGTTCAGCATCTGGAGATCTGACTTCCGCTTGTTCTTTGCGTGCAGGCCCCCTACGTCGTGGACTGTCCTCCTTAGCGTGGTAAGAAGCTCATCTCCAACAGCGGCGAGCTTTCGTTCGGTGGTCTGGTGAGCCTTGCGAATATGCGTCTCCTCGGCAAGCGTCTTCCTGGTCGTCGCTAAAACCAGTTCTGTCTGGTCCAGGATTTCCTTGGTCTCGTCGAGCTGTGCTTGAGTCCCTTCTTGCTCCTTCTTGAGTCCCATGAAGCTCGTAGTCAGAGCGACAAGCTCCTGCACCTTGCTCCGGAGGTTAGTCTCAAGGTTCGCTATCTTGGCGGCTTGTTCCTCGGTTAGGATACGGCGGGACTCGTTCTGCACCGTCATCTCTTCGTAGACCTCGTTCGACAGGTAGACACCGTTGCGCTGTCGGGTGTTGATGAGTTCGGTCCTCAATCTCTCGATCTCGCTTGTGAACTCCTTCAACAGCGTTTTCTTGTGCATCAGCCCGTTGAGTTGGGGCTTGTTGCGGATGTTCTTCGCCCGGAAGGCATAATCTAGTGTTGAAATGGTCTCCTCCAGGTTGCTCCTCGCTGGAGATACTGTTGCAATTATGCACGTCTTTGTCCTTCCGCCCAACGAGTCTTGGAGAAGCCGCGTGAGCTTCGATTCCCTGTAAGGAATGTGCGCGGACCGGTCGACCAAGGCATTGATCACACGTCCGAGTGTGAGAAGACTCTTGTTGATTAACCCTGCCTCGGCGGCGCGTTTGTTTTCGGCCCCCGACCGCTGAATATTCTCGCTTCCCGCCAAGTCGACCAGGTTTAGCTTTCCCGCACTCAGAAAGTCTTCTCCGTTTTCCGTGTGTCGTTTCACATAAAGACTGATGGTGAAAACCGTGTGGCTTCGACTGCTGAGATCATTGCACTTCGTGGCGGCAACCTGGCGTCTCACGCTGCCCTCTTGAAGCCATCGGAGGCCTTCCGCGGCAGTCATGATGTGGTGCTCCTCCATACCCTGCACCACAGTTGCGGCGTGACCTTTTCGGGAGTTGTCGTCATATATCTTGAGCTTTCCGCCCTCGTCTGGAGAGAGGAGATCACGTAGCTCCTCGTTGTAAAGCTCGATGAAGGAGCAGCGGACGCAGTTCTCAGCGTCGTCGATCTCGAGCTTGCTGAACAGGGCGTGGAGGACCCTGGGGATGATGCCTGCCGTGTCGGACACGAGACCCAGCGTGTCGCTCATGTCGCCAGACATTGTGTATGTCTTACCGGTGCCGGTCTGCCCATAGGCAAATATGGTGCAGTTATACCCAGCCAACATCTGGACAAGAGTCAGCGGTCGCATTTCCAGGTTAATCCGATCCAGCTCACCTCGTCCACCATGGGCTTGACTACGTCGTCAAAGATCATGGTCTGATCCGCCGCCTGCGAGAAGACGCCGTCAAAGTTGTATGTCTTGTTGCTCAGCGCAGCCGGGCCCATGTTGAGTTCGACAAGCTTGCCCTTGACTCCTTCCGTCTTGACCACCACCGCGCTGTTTTCTCGGACCTCTCGCTCGTTGCGGCCTCGACATCGCACAAACACGTTGATGTTTGTCGCTTCGCCCTCCTCCGCATCGAAGTCGCGCTCCTTGCGCTTTGCGCCTGCCGTAGCCGACGTGTTTACCGACGATATCGAAGCTGCTGGAGATACCGCGCCCGATCTGTCCATTCGGGATGCCACGGAACCACGACGCGAATGTCCTGTCTTGTACACTGCTGCTGCTGATACATTTCGAACGCCGGGACGCAAGCTTGCGCGCGTAGAGGCACCGTATCGGGTGCTCGGCGCCATTGTCGGAATATTTCTGCGCTCCATGGCGGAGCCAACCTTCTGTCGTCCCGCCACGACTGCGTAGTATGAGGGTTATAAGAAAACTTATCGACTGTGAAGCAAATTCAAAAAGCTTGATCGCCAAACGCGTACACGAAAGATGCTATGGCTTCACTGATAGTATATGCAGGGTATAGGTGGTATCAGTATGGCGTCGGTGGAAAGGTATGGGCGGGGCGGCACTTTCTTGCAGGGGTTGTTTGGCGTCTGCAGGAAGGCGCGACATAAACAGGGCACTGCGGCTAGCGATTGCCAGGGCAACCCCCAGATCCGCTTGCAACCGCCGAACGGCCCTGCCTTGCCAGGCGGTGCCCCTCACATTGCCTGCCGCACATGACGTCCCGCACGCCCACCTTACAGTGCATCACGGGGCAGCTGCCAGCAAATGCTACTTTGCTTACTTGCCTATAGTTAAACTTACGCCCTGTTTTACTGATTCGGCTTCTCTAAATGCAATCAATGAGAACAGTTGTCGTCGTGTCCCTATTGAATGTCCATCTATAAGATCTGATCGCAAGACAGAATAGGTGCTCTCGTTTGCCTCGGCGCCCCGCAAGCATAGCTCCCACCCCTCGTTCTGGAGCTTGAAGCTTGAAGCTGGCCGCCATGTCGCTGTTCTCAGCGCAACTCCATCCTGGCCGCGCTCTGGGCTTCTTGGTGCTCGGCGCATCCATCCACGACATTCTAACGCGTATCAAGGCTGAACCTCAGCGATTTCCGAAGATCGACTTTATTTACTCGCGGAAAGACCCCTTCGGGGAACCGAGCGTTGTCGGGCTGCCAGCAAATGGACTTCGCCTGCAGTTTGACGGGCCGGAACAGCGGCTGCGGCTAATCGAAGTCGTCGACTTTACCAAGAACCACATATTCTTCAAGCCGGCAAACGATAAAGAGCGAGACCTCGTGCGACCGCCGAATGCTGCGCAAGGCGCATCACAACAACCGACCGACGCTACGTCCGGTCCAACGTTTCGCCACATCTATCAGCGCTTCTTGGGACCGACATATGATGGGGAATACATAGTAGGCGCTGATGGCTCGCAGGACGGACTCTACGTGCTCTCATACCCCGGGGTGGCCTTCACGTTTTCCATGAGGCAATCCGACTACTCGCCGTCTAAAGACGTCCTGTCCCTGCTCTTGTCGACAGCGATTCCCCTTGCTATGGCAATATTCAGCGGTGATTCCTGGGCACAAGCTCGGGGGACACTCTGGACAGAGGTGCTGCCCAGCGTCAAGACATTCGCGCCTCTTGCTAAGGGCAAAGACGTCTGTCCGGATGAGGTGTCGCTGGTGGAAATACACGGGGGTGGGAAGCTGCAGCTGTTCCGCAAGTGGACTAGCAACTCCTTCTGGATTCATCTCGGCGAGACGACACCTCAACAACTGGTGGCTGAGCTCGGCCCGCCCGATGCGACGTACCGTAAGAACGAGCAGCGCATGTACATCCACAAGCTGAGACCCGCGAGCAACACGATGGCACGCCCCAACGGTAGCGATCTCAAGCGTCAAGAACACGATCTTACTGACACAGACCAGTCTTCAACGCACGGCGGGTCCGACGGTTATGATTCCAACGACGAGGCTGTCGAGGACGACGTTGTGGTGAACGTGTCTGGAGAGTGCTTCTACAACTACTTTTACCTGGGCTTCGACATCCTGATGTCAACACCTACCACTCCTTCACAGCCTCCTCCTTCACAGACACCAGGTAACGCCCCCCCCGACGTCCCCTTCAAGACGGCGGCTCCGGACAAGTTAGTAGCGACAAAGGTGATCCTGCACGGAAACGTGCCGGGGTCGTACCCGTTTAATAGGCATCGTCGCTGCCGCTGGGAGATTGCGTATCTATCGAACACCAACCCAGATGTCGTCGTCAACTCCGAGTCACCGTTCCCCGAGATTGAAGCAAGTCTACGAGAAGAGTGGAAGTCGATCTACGCCTCCGAGGCCGAAGCCAAGCAACGTCAACGCGGCATGGTTCTTAATAGAGGCTGGGGCGACAGCCCAGGCAGTAGCTGCGAGTTGCTTGGTGGCTGGGAAGAGGGCGGCGGAGGTGGCGGCGGCACTTCCAGTGCAGGAAAGAAGTTTGACGAGGACTCTACGACTACGCTGTACGGGTTTCCCGGGCTGGTGTTTGAGGTGTTGAAGAATGGCTATGTGAGCGCCGTGACTGTCTTTTAGCCATTTGTAGGGTGATTAGATTTCGTTTGGGAAACATTCAGCGAATTGGGCATGGCGTTTGGGAAGCATATGGTAGACGGTACAGGCACTTGGATATGGGATCGGGATCTATGCTTTGAACAGCGTATCGCGGGATTGAATCGGTAGCGACTTAGACACAGCAATGCGAAGTAGCGACTTACAGAGAGTACATTTCGTCCGGAATCGGAGCAGCAATCACTTGGCGGATCCCTTCTTTCGCTTCCCCCGCTTCCCCCGCTGAGTAGACCCACCACCCCACGAACAAGAATTCTCTTAAGCCGCGCCTTCCCAACAACAGTCGGGTATGGTGTAGCGGTAACATCGTTGACTCTCACTTCCTCAAGAAATGAGCTCAGTCACTCAACAGCCCCGGGTTCGACTCCCGGTATCCGAGACTCTGGATTCTACGTGGGAGCCAAACTCCCATGAAAAAGATTTGAACACCTTCAATCTTCCGTAGTATAGTGGTTAGTATATGAGCTTGTCATCTTCTCGAAAGAGACAGAGGAACAACGCTCGGGACCCGGGTTCAATTCCCGGCGGGAGAGTCTCACACCCGACCTATGTTTTTGCAGTTATCACTGTCTGCCTGTCCGCGTCCTTTTTTGAACACTGTTTGCCCAATGTTGCAACTAGCTTCGGACCATCTTAAAAGCTCGCCGAAGAGTTTGCGTAGAGTATACAGGTCTGGATACCCACGGACTAGAAGGTCCATTTTTCCTTGCTTAGAACATACGCAGCTGGCACTGAAGGACCTTCATTTACAGTTTTGGTCCGGCGCTCTTGTGATGCTTTGGCGCAGTACCCACACCGTGGGCCCGGGTCGGACTAAACACGGGCGGACTGGACTTCACGCTCCATGCCTGAGTTCCGGTGCTATTAAAACGGAATCCGTGATTTTTGAGAGTGAAACATCCATGCCAAGCCTTGCGGCTCACAGAACGGCCAAGGCAAGGTACTGGTATCGTAGTGCTTACGGACTGCTGCCAGCCACTGCAAAAAAGAGCCCCGATGCCTGTGGTCCGTGGAACGCGCCGTAGCCGACCCTGCTCAGTGGTTGTCCTGCGGCTAACAGCGGGCCTCAGGGATCAGCTCCACGGGCTGTCAGGCGCCCCATGTCTGCCTTTTGTGAGTGCCGACCCGAGGATTTGCCTGGTCGAGTGGTTTCAAGCTCCCGGACACCCTCTGGTGCGAGGCGCACATGCAATAAATAAGTCTATGAATCGGAGGCTGCAAGTGTGACGAATGAGACGGCACGCACGACATTCTTACTGACGACACTGGCGTACACGCTGTTCGGCCTTCACATGGCAAACATTCGTCTTTAACCCGGTTTCTCAACCAACGCCCAACGGCAGCCGAAAACATCTGGGACAATGCATCGCCATTTCGCTTAGTCGCTCTTGACATAATCCTAGCGTTCACGTCTGTCATGAGTCTATCATGACATGTGAACAACGGCACAGCAATGAACGACCACGATGTCAGCCCACCATCTGATATGCGCGCGCGCAGGGCGGCGAGGCAATCTACCTCGACTGCGCTGGACAGCAGCCTCGCGAGCAGCAGCAGCAGCGCAGTACCTCCTGAATCGACGACCCTCAACGATGCCGTCGAATACCCCAGACAGAGAGTCTCAGTATCAGGCAAAGACAACGCGCCGTACGACGACAATAGGCGTCACTCGAAAGAAGCAGGGACGAGAGGTCACCGCTCTCACAAGCACAGGTCTAGCGGTGCCTTTCTCCTGTCCGATCCCGTCTTCGACGATGCCAGTCACGATGCCGGCCGCACATATCCCAACAAGCGAAACCGAGACTCGGTCGAATACGCCAGGGCTTTGTCACATACACCGGACAAGATGCAAGCAAGAGGGACACATGCAGGTGGCTCACAGAGCTTGACGCCAGATTCCGCGCAAAGGACAAGCACTGCGAGCAGTAGCCCACAAACAAAACGCGACTCGTTGGCTGGGGATACCGCGGTTGGGTCGTCTCCAAAAGGAAGCATGGCGCCGCTGGACGTGGACGCGGCACAGATCGTGAACATGGCTTTGAACCTGAGCGAGTCGAGGAGGTTGGCCTCGCGGAGGAATGCCTCCACCCCAGTGCCGCCAAGGTTGGTGCCGCTACCGGACAGCACGACGGGAGGGAGCCTTAGGCAGCACCTCCAGCAGCAAAGACGGGTATCACGCACCATCTCACCGAGGCCAGACCGCTCACCCCGTCTCGCGTCCGGACAGAGGGTCCTCAGCCCCCTGCAATCGGCGTTCGAGCACGATGGGACCTACCGATACCACTTTTCACAGTCGACATTGGCCAGGGCGCAAAAGGCGAAGGAATATCTTGAGCTCATGTCTCAGTACAGACGGGTTCTCGACTTAGTGCCTCCCCTGAAGCCCGCCCGCGGCAGCACTGCCAGGTCATCGACTGCCAGTCCGCCACGGACACCGGGCGACTCTGCCCAGACATTATCCCGATATCCGTCCACCGAGCCAGATACAAAGATCGGTCGGCCATATAACCCGCTACAGTACATACGGAATCGCAAGGTCAGGGCTCGGGAGAGGAAAGTCATCGACGGCGAGGCACAAGGGTTTGGGGAGGTCATAAAAGCGTCGGAATGGGTCGATGAAGTCGCCAAGTGGGTTGCCACCGGCCAACATCGAGTGCCTGGCAACCCTGGCTTGCCACCATTCACACCTGCTCATGAGACAGCCACAATACAGAGCTCCCCTCCCGCAGCCAGCTCCTCGAGACCGGTGATAACCGTGTCCAAGCCAAAACGGCCAAGGGTGGACTGGGTCATAGACCCCGCAGAGATGATTGCCGATGTCTACTGGCTCGAGCAGGACGACAACAAGAAGATGGTCGAGGATCGTCACTGGAGACGAGTCTTTCCTCAGGACCAGGGTCTGTTCCGGCCGCTTTCTCAGGACTCGACCGGACCGCAGACGGGTACACCACGGCGATCGACGAAGGAGTTTGCAGACACGCAGTTACCTACCGAAGGATCTCCTGCTCCTCCTCCAGAGCTTGGGGAGCTGAAGCAAGCGAAAAGCGAGCCTGGACCTGGGCATAGTCTCAGCAGCGCTAGGGACAGGGCACAGCAGAAGCTGCGGGCGCTTAAGGGCGCTCACCGGCACAACGGCTCTGTCCATAAGACCGAGCTCCTCCGCATCCACCGAGGCTCCATGTCCGAGTCGTCTGACACAGACAGCGACCGAAGACAGAGAGCTAGGAACGCCATTATCGGCAGCAACGAGAAGGACGTCCTGGAGAAGCAGATGCGGGACATGCTTGCCCGAGAACAGCGAGAAGCCGAGTCCCGACCTCCATATGACCCTGAAACCTTGCGTCTGAAGTTAACGGCGCAGGGCCTGATGACTCCTGACGGGGAAAAGGGCGGCCGCACCACGCCGCTTCTCAGTCGTGCGAGCAGCTGTCATAGGCGGGCGCAGTCTCACGCAGATGTCAGTGAGACTGACAACAACAACAGCAATAAGTACTTTAGCAAGATGAAACCGCTGCCGCAGGGGATAGGGATGGCACGGACTAGCCTGGAAGTTCCCGGGAGCGGAAGACGGTTTTCGGTGGATTACGACACGTCCCAGCCAAACTCTCCAGACTTACGACCGCTACGAGATCCTGGGTCCCAGCTGGTCCCTGCTATCGGCATGGACCTGTCACCGACATCTAGCAGACCGAGCTCCCCGACGAGGAACCCGTTCACCAAGGTTAAGAGCATCTTCCGTGAGCGTAGTCGAGAGCGTGCCGCAGAAAGTCATGCTCCGGAGAGGCCTGAGAGAGATGACAGCGCGGAGGCGTCGGTGGCAGCACCACCGTCTGAGAGGTTGTTGGATTCACCGGCGACTGATAAAAGTGCCGCCGGTATGCAGTCCCCCCCGCGAAGACCGTCCAAGAGTCCGGTCCGGAAGGTTTTGACGAGAGGGACGGACAGCAGCCACAAGTCACATAAGAGCGCCAGCAGCGTTAAGATCAGGGGTGATGATGCCACTGGTCTGCGGGGTTTATTCAGGGGTCCACGAATTGACAGTGTGTTAAGGAGTGGTGTGTCGAAAGTTAGTGATATGCTGTGGCGCAGTCGGGATGCGGCTGTCACCGCGGAAGATTCCGATACGTCGTCCGATGAGTCGGATAAAGAGGAGCTGACTAGAGGTCGCTCGAGGACTGGCTCACGAAGGGGGCACCAGGATCTGTTAACTCCTAGTATTAGCGGGGAAGGTGGTGGAGGTGGAGGCGGAGGAGGGAAGAGGTATCTAGACGTGATGCCCCATTTCACCCACACTACCGATCATCACGGCCATCATCACAGGAAGTCGGCGTCTGTGAGCGAGCTCTCCCCTTCCTCATTAGCGGTACCCGGTGAGAATCCATCGAGACCGCCAAGTCGGAGATCGTCAAGGTTTGATCTACTCAAGCCGCCCAAGATTGACGTCCAGAACGCCTCCCCGCCTGGATCATCCCCCCCTCCTTTGGAGGTACACCGCCTAAGGGAACACGGTGTGGGTGTGGGTGTGGGTGCGGAGGATGATCCCGATCGGAAGGGTGGTGGTGGTTTTGAGGGCGTGCGGGCAGCGGACGCTAGGTTGAACGCTGTGCTGTCCTCGTTTAACAAGACCCGCCAGTTCAGTATCACCACAGGTACTAATACTACCCGTCATTGGTCGATCTCTGCCGCTGGGGTACCGCCTGCGACGTTATCCAAACGAGAGGTGGCGAGGTTGAGGGCATTGTTGTTGAGCTCGGGGATTCAGGCTATGGAGATGGATCGCCGGGCGAAGGAGCGCAAGCTGCGGACGTCCACATCCCCACCTAACACCAAGGAAGAAGGAGAAGAAGAAGAAATTGGCAGGTTTGCCTGGGAGGAAGTTGCTCGTTTGGCTCCAGATCCCCAGGATCGGAGGGTCATGTTGACAAGACCGTTGATGCAGACCGATGTGTACCCGCTTGCGGCGCAGGTGCTGAGGGGCAGTCTACAGCGCTCTGCGCAACGATGGCGGGAGACGACTGACAAGTTCAGCACAGTGGCGGCTCCACAGTTGGAACAGAGGGCTGAGGGACTGAGGATGAAGGTTGCGGGGGAGCTGACGGACCGGACACGGCAGGCGGCGGAAGAGGCTGACGAAGCTAACCATGACCTGGCGACGGGGCAGAGATTAAAGGTCAAGAGGGTGGTGGATACCATCGAGAAAATGCTCAGGAGGAGACGTAGGAGGTTCCGCTGGGTTAGACGAGCTGGCTGGCTGGCGGTCGAGTGGGCGCTTGTCGGGTTCATGTGGTACGTCTGGTTTGTTGTCATGATTGCACGGGTCATATGGGGGGTCGGGAGGGGGGTTGTTGGGGGGGTTAGGTGGTTGTTGTGGTTGTAGTAAAAGACCTTTTTCTCTCTCTCTCTCTATCTTTCTCACCCTATCGTTCCTTTTGTCGACATGACTTTTTTATAATGAAAGAAGAAGAAACTTTCCGTGAAAGGGTAAAAGGTAAGGGGTGATTGGGAAGTTTTTGTGTGTTTTTTTTTGTCTATATTTCGGGACTACTTAGTATACCAGACAACCTCAACGGGAATGGCGGATGTTTGTTGGGTGTTAAGAGTGTTTGTGTGTTTTGATAAGATTTAAGTTTGATACCCCCCCTTTTTTATTCGGGCTGTTGTCCTTTAATTCACTTTACTCTTTTTTTTCCTTCCTTCTCTCTAAACATCTAACCAGGCTAAGTAAGAGGGTGCGTGTGTATGTTGCAAAGTAGACTGACTTGGTAAAGATCCCGTGTGTGTGTGTGTGTGCTGCGTGGCAGCAGATTTAAGCATGGTACGGCTGAAACCCGACCTCGGAAACGATGTTCCATTAATATGGACTCAACACCAGCAAAAAAAAAATTTACACAACTCCACTGTGCGTTGGTTTCCCAACGCACGTTGTGAATGTGTTAAAGGGGTGGGTGTTTAATAAGGGTGAGATTCGAACTCACGCCCTTTCGGACCACGGAATTAATTACTCTCGAGAAAGATCTCTCTCAAGAATGAGAATTAAGGGTTGGATACCCTGGCGTGGCGCCTTAGATCGCTCGGCCACGTTGCCTTTTCTTTCCTTTGACTCTTGATGAAGATGTCCGTCGTGTGGCACTGGCTTATACATGTTCTTGTTGACCAAGACCCAAACAGGTATTTTAACTTTAATGATGTTTAATAAATAGTTATAACTGGAAGAATAACACACACAACTCACATCCGGATTCCAACCCTGCTAACAAGGACTCTCTATGTATCTACCAAGTATTACAAGTCTATTCCTATCCAAACCAACAACCAACAAAAACCAATTCCACAAACGAAAAAAAAAAACAAAAAAAAAAAAAAACGCCCAGACACAAAACGATCGACAAACAGGGAGACGTATTACTCAATACGCTTCTTCCCCTCTTCCGCGTTCAGATATCGGGCGGTACTCAGACCGCGCTCGTGCCGGGCGACAAACGGCCCCAGGAGCTTGTCCTTGCGCACCTTGCTGATGGTCTCGTGGTATCCCTCCGTCGCCCACGGTCGGGGGTTCAGCTTTGGCCAGTTTACCTGCTTCGAGTTAGCGTCGTCCATTAACTCATCCAACGTTCGAAAGCTAGGTGACTTACGTAGAGCATGCCGTTAGTAACCATAAAATGGAGGCACCAAGCCGTCACGAGCAGACAAGTAACGATGAACAACCGCATCGGCCAGACCGCCGCATCTGGGACCCTCCTGGTAAACATAGCCACAAACACGAAAAACAGCCCGAACGCCGCGAAGTAGGGTATGCTCTGGATGAGCACCGGCCTGCGATCCACGAAAACCAGACCACCACTCCCCCTGTCTGCGCCTCCGGCGGTGTAGGCCCCGAGGAAGAGGTCAAACGCGTCTTGCCGCGGTCCATCCAGGAAATTGTTCTTGCAGTATCTCGTCACCGCAACGTTTGCATCCTGCAGTGCTCCCGCCTTGGTCCGCTTCCCGAGTCTCGTCAGGTCTGTCTTCATCGCCCCGGTGCCAGAATAGCTCTTGGACACAACATCCGCGTTATCAGCCCACATGTTCCGAAATAAAAACTCAAAGGCAGAGTCTTCATCCCTGAACCGAGCGCCTGCAGACATCAACCCCAAATCGACAAACATCCGGTCCAACGTCCAGCGGGCAAGCATCGATTGAACGACGTTGGTTCGGTCCAGGCAGTCCATACAATTCGTCCGGACCACACTTGTCTGCAGGTTGCGGACGTCAAGACGTCCAGATTGAGAAGGGTTGATGTTATCCACGACAGCTCGGAAATACTGCTGCGCTATAAGGGCGTCATGCAGACGGTCGATGAGCAGCTGCGCGCGGTGCATCTGCAGCCCCTTTGTTTCGCTGTGGAAATCAAAGTAGATGTAGTGCAACCTGTCGAACTGCGACTGCTTCTCGGCCGGCTCGATGCTGTGAAACTTTTCCTCCGTTCTCTGATCGGCCTCCCGGGATTCCCGAGGGGGGGCGGATACCAAGGCTTCAACCATCTGCTCGTACGCCTGCTTCACCCGTTGCTCCCTGCCCTTCTGGTTGACCAGGTTGACGAGGTAATTATCCCCGTAAATGCGGATCTGCTCGTCGAAATGGCGCTTCGCGGCCGGCAACGCCGTCTCGGTCCCCTTGATCTGAATTTTCGGGGTGTACTTGAGGTTGTTGATCTCGGACCAGTAGACAGGCACGCTGCCGCGGGTTTGCACGTAGGACATGACTTGCATTTCCTTCCCCTCTTCTCCTAGTTTCCCGCTCTGCATGTTGCCGCTGCCGGCGAACCCCCCTAAGCCGCTACCGCTGGCGTCGTTGAGGATGACGATTTGCTCGGTCTCGTTGTAGTTCGCGACGTGCCCTTCGTCATCCAGACCGCGAGTGAAGTAGCGTGTGCCCGCGCGATGCCGTGACCGGCGGGTGATGAGCGCAATCGTCAGTGGTGTGCCCTTGAATGTTGTGGGGTGGATCTCGAGCATGCCAAAAATGACGGGCAGGATGTAGGGGTCGATACCCGGCTGAGGGGCAGGCTGGCCACGGCCGCCTCTTGTGCGAAAATCGATCAGGTCCGACTGGAGGTAGCGGTTCCAGAAGAAGCGATCGTCGGTGCGCATCCATAGCGGGCTGGTGGCGTCCTGCTGCGACTGCCGCTGGAAGCTGTTTGTGAGGTCGACCGAGTAAGAAAAGTACATGGGCCCTGCCTTGATCGAACTCCTAAGCAGAGCTAGGAACCTGTCCTCCTCGGGGTCGTGAATCTGCCGCTCGCGCAGGGGGAGAAGATCGGTGGAGATGACCTTGTAGACCTGGGCGCCCTTCAAACGGCCGACGGGCTGCGCCTTGGTGATGACGATGATGTACTTGTCTAAAGTTGTCAACCAAACATGCTTCTTCTTCCTCCGTCTAAGCGCTCTCACCTAGCCTCAGCCTGATCGTCCCCAGAATGCCAGCGATGCTGGACACCCGCGACACGCGCTTTCCGGATCGGAGGGATGCATCGCTGAGGCGGATGTCACCGGTCGGTCGGTCAATGGTCAGCGCCGGCGCATTGGGGCTGGACGGCGACGTGAAGATGTACGAATCGGAGGCGGCTTGGACATTGATGTCTCGGAAAGGAAGCGTCATCTTGAAGCAGACGCGACGGTCGGAACGAACGGATGCAAGGAGGGAAGAAAATGAAAAGAAAAAAAAAAGCCTCGTCGCAAATATCAAACGAAAGGGTCAAATACACTTGGTGCAGTTGGGGCAACCGAATTATGGTGAATGGCCTAACTATCCATCTCGACACGTACTCTTCAGCAGGCCAACAGGAGGCGATGTTTGAGCTTTGCGAGCTTGTGAACTCTGGCGTCAGCGCCGGGACCCCGCCGGCTGGCAGTGGGTGACATAACAGTGCAGCAGTTACAGGTCCGCACTGGTTCATCGTGTCAGTTTGTACCCGTGGACCCGCTGACGCCCTTTTCCTAGCAGTCCGGAACGGGCAAATTGTTTAAGCACAACGGAACGATACGAGACGAGTGGTCATTTCTATAAAGCCACTATAACATCACCCCACATGATTCTCACCTTCAAGTCCTGTGAAAGAAATGAATTTGCGACCGGGTAACTGCAGCATCAGACTAACGAGCTGTACAAGGCTGGAACGTATTCACAGAAGGGTCCTGCGACAAATCACGTGGAGCACGCACGTACCAGCTAGCGGTGCCTGCAGCTTGTCGTCCTTGCCTGACGTGTGCACGCCTGCTGCCAGTGGCCCAGGCTGCCGCTATTGAACCTCCCGCCAACCAGCCCTGCTTTTGTATTCCGGTTCGCTTTCCCTTGATTACTGTCTCTCAACAGCAGCTGCGACTTGCCGACTCTATCACCTTCACTTCCCACCACCATTCGACCGTCTGCTCCACCCACCGATTCTCCTTTCACCGCCAGTCTCGACTATTTCTGAAGTCGATAATACAAATCCGACGCTCTCTTATCCCGAGCAAGGCCCACCGTCTCTGATCTCGGCAGCGCCACGATCTCTACAGCGGCTATCTATCCGAAGCCCACCACACATCACATATTCTCCGTCATGGCTACTCGAGGCCCCCCGGGAGCGCGCGGCATGGGCAACCGCTTTGCACAGTTCAAGTTGGTTCTTCTAGGTATGTTTGAGGCGAGGAGTCATGCTGCCGAGGCATGGTGGTCGATTGCATCCGCTAACACCGTCCAGGTGAATCTGCAGTCGGGAAGAGCTCTATAGTATTGCGATTCGTTAAGGTAAGCAACCATTTATACACGGACCGCCAGGGAACGATAGAAAAGCTAATTCGCGCCAAGGATCAATTCGACTCATACAGAGAATCCACGATCGGCGCCGCCTTCTTGACACAGACTATCTCACTCGATGAGAACACAACGGTAAAGTTCGAGATCTGGGACACGGCTGGCCAGGAACGGTACAAGTCCCTGGCGCCCATGTACTACAGGAACGCAAACTGCGCAGTGGTTGTCTACGACATCACTCAAGCTGTATGTTACGCCCCGAGTTTCCGGTTCATCATCTGCTAACACAAGCACCAAACAGTCATCCCTCGACAAGGCAAAGGCATGGGTAAAGGAGCTCCAACGCCAGGCGAACGAGAATATCATTATCGCTCTCGCCGGAAACAAGTTGGATCTAGTCACGGAACAACCAGATAAGCGGGCGATCCCTACCGCCGATGCCGAGGCATATGCGAAGGAGGCTGGCCTGCTCTTCTTTGAGACATCTGCCAAGACTGCTGAGAACGTGCGAGAACTATTCACGGCGATTGCGAAGAAGTTGCCGCTCGACCAGGTCGGGCCGAGACATGTCCGTCCTGGTCAACGGCCAGGCGTTAGCCTAGCACCAGAGGGAGCGAATACCCAAATGAGCGGACCCTGCAGCTGCTAAACTTGGTTTGGGGTTGGGTGTTGTGTCCGGCGCTAGAGGGGTTTACGAATCCGTGCATGGTTGGTACAGCCACGGAAGCCGCGGGGTTGGACCATGGACTTAGAAGTTGTCACTTTTACTGCTCTGCCACGGCGGTCAGGGCATGGCGACATTATCAGGTGGAGTCTGCGGATAGGATGGTATTGGTCCCTTTTTAATACCTCTATATGGACGGTTCTCATGATTGGCCTCGCCTGATCGGAGGAACGCAAGCAACACTTTTTGCGTCAGTTGGAATGGGATTATGGCGGATGGGCTATGTGCTCGTGCATTCTATGTTGTTGTACAGTATGCAAATAGAGCAACAGCTTGCAACGGATCGTTTTGGTAATAATAATTCTGGTATGAACTCTATCCGCTTAGTGCACGGCGGTGCCATCAATCGTATCAAGTGATCAAGTGATTCGGGATAAGAAGATAGACTATAAATTCCATGTGACTTCATTTCGGTCGTCTGATGTGCATGCTGCTGCCGGGGAAGGCGCCAACGGCAACAGTAGGAAGCGCACTTGCTGGTTGGCCCCACCCCTGCCGCAGCCGGGACCTGGCAATTGGCAGCAGCGCCTTCCGGAACTTTACCGAGCTGTTTTTTGGCTCAAGCATTTTCTCCGCCGAAAACACAT